GGACAAAAAATATGCTCTGGTGATACAGTATAGGACGGGCCACTATACAGAAAATCTTGGCATAAATGAATAGAAGTCTTTTCATTATTCTCGACATCAGGAAGTTGCACAGATATCTGTCCAAGCTTGCCACCACAATCGGAACTTTACAAGAGGCCTAGAGCTTCTGTCACATCACTTCCTGGGAATAACTTAACAGACAGGAGCCACAGTGGCAAGAGGGGTAGTTTTGGGGTCAGGTACTCTGGGTGTGAGTTCTGCTGCTTATGGTCTTGGGCCCTTGGACAACTTGTTTAAGATCTGTTAGCTTTCTCCAATCTGTTGACCTGTGAAAGAGAAATGAGTGGTAGCTAATGGACTTGCCGTGAGAATTAAACGAGATATTGCAAGTAAAATACACAAATCTTTTTTTTAAAGGTGTTCAGTAAATGGTTATGCTTGGTGACTGAGTGACAGCTGTGTCAGGACCTCTTATCTTCTCCCATTAGGTCTACCAGCGGCCATGCCCCTGGGGGCCCCTGGTGCCCCCTGGTCGCAGCCACCGCATTCCCTTTCCTGCTCTAGTACCCGGGAGGCTATGGCCGGCCAAGTGAGGAGTGTAACAAAGCAGCTCTGAAGTTGGAGGACAGTGAAGTCACTCTGAAGTGGAACGTGCGGCTTGGTGTCAGAAAGCGAACTTTTAAATTTAACCAGTTATTTTATATATCTAACCCCAATCCCAGATATTGGTGGGATTTTTATTTAAGCACATGATCAATGGTAGAAACAAACAGTGGAGGAAGTCAGAGGGAAGACAGAACACAGAGTGGGAAAAGGCAAGGCTGGTCGTTAAATTCCTCCTAATCATCTCCTAGGTATGGAGAAACCTGGCTGTAATTGTCCTATTATGAAAACAAAGAAGGAAAAGATGATCAGTTGCAGAATTGATATATGACAATATGTGTTGTCTGTGCCAGCCCCTGTTCTAAGTATTTTAGGTCTATTAACTCACTTAACGGTCACAGGGCTTCTATAAACTGGTGCCCTGCTGTTGCTGTTTACACGGATGGGAAACGGAGGCTCTGGAAAGAGCCAAAGTGGCCCAGTGCTCACTGGGGCAGCAATGAGATTTGAACTCTGGTTGCCCGACTCACAGCTCAGGCTCTTAAGGACTAAGCAGTGCTGTTCTGATAGACAACCTAAAACAAGTAATAACAACATGATTCGGAGGAAGCATTTCCAAACAGAGATCTGAGCCCTCATAAGATGAAAAGTTTGACAAAGTTGCCAGATTGAAGGATTTCCGAGGCTAGTGAATTTTTTAAAAAAATGTGACACATAGCTCACCACCTCTTTGTGTGTGTGCACACACCAAGTAAGAACATTAAAACAACTACCAGGGATCATCAACATCATTTCATGATAAAAATGACACATAACTACCAAAAAAGTAAATAAAAAGAAAGAGCATAATCTAAACATAGGGGACCATGTTTGGAAATTGTGAATAAATTCAGCTTTCTGAGAAAGGTTCACAGCCCTTATCTTTCTCGTTCACCTCTGAGAGGTGAAGAACAGCCAGAGAATATCAATGGTGCATGAACTTGCACTTGAGAACCACTGACATGCTCCCTTAGGCGTCTCTGTGACCCCAGAACAGCAAGGATTCAAAAGCAGAATTGAGACTCCATCCTTCTCCGGTTGGATACCAGGAAGGTCTCAAAATTCAGCATCTAAAGAGCCAGACGCTGTGATCACATCAAAAACCACAGAAGGTCTGTGAGAAGTAGCCAGCGAAGGACCCAGTGCACGATCTTCACACAGATGCACACAGCACTGACCGACACGAGCACATCACCATGATCTGTGAGATACGCCACAGCCGCACACTTACTGTCCGGCTGTGACTTCAGTCTTGAATAAAACGGAATACTGTATCTTTTAAAAGAACAAATATGTGTAAAGAAAATATAAGATTAACACCAGGAACATTATTAGATTTTCCCAATGCTAATGCATTGGCAGCATTTTCCAATTTTGTTTGGTAAAGAATTCGAGTTGCTTATAAATTTATGCTGAACCCCACTGGACACTTTTCCAGGCTGAAGCCAGCAGCCCCACTTGTTCAGGGAGTTGTATTTATAATACCTGCTCTTTCTATATTTCCATTAGAATGCAATTATCCTGCTTAGGAAAAAATAAAGGTCACTGGGTTAATGGAGCTCACCTTTCTTTTTTAGCCCATAAATAATAAATCAAATATAATATTTAAAAAGAAAACCACATCCTGCATATCATTGTATTTCTGATGCTTTTTCCATAGGACATTTGAGTACATGGTGCTTATTGTGGCCATAATCATCACAGTCCATCAAGTTCCTGCAGCAATGGTTCCACCAAGAAGTACACAGCATGTGTCTTTTAAATTGGTAGTTGTCAATACTCGAACGTTCAAGAAATTTCCCATGACATTTTCAAAGTAGACCGCAGTACGTTCTACTCTGACTTTAAGAAGCTACTCACAGAATTATTCATCTTAGCAAATACACAGAACATCTCACGAGCTTTATCAAAGTATTGACAAAGATATGCATTTTAAAAATTCTTAACAACTGCAGATTGAAGCACATTCCTTTGCTTCCAGAATGGCTTCCCAACAGTGCTTGTAGGAGACCGTAGACAGTCCTGTGGCCATGCCAATAATAGTAAATCTTTCTGGGCAAGATTCTGCTGCCACTAGTTTCCCTAATGAGAAAATGAAGACTTTGTTTTTGCCAGCAAAAGAGCTGAACTGGGCTCTCCGCCCAAAAGGGCCTAATCAATGTTTTCACTTCAGGCTTCCCAAGGGAACAACTAAGCAGTCGTTCCAGTACCTGGCACATCAAGATTTATACGGCAGAATAGGAACACACAGACTAAATAGCTTCTGAAAGCCATTTGTCTGGAGTAATAAAAAAAATAATAGAGCAGCTGCTGTTATATCACCATCGCCCTGAAAATAAGGCTATGTGTCTCATGAAATTTATCTAAGAAATGTTGTAGACCACTCTGCCTGGTTTTAGGAATTGTATCTCTACCCCTTGTAGCTAAGGGGGAGAGACGACCTTTGGAATGCCAGCAGCAGGAGACAAAGCCTGTCTCTGGTAGCAAACGCTGCCTCAGTTCCTCTCCCTGCCCCCAGAGCTTGGTCAGAAGTCAATGACGAATAAGACCCCTCACAGTGGGGGGCAACCTAAGCCAGACTCCATCACCTGGGAGGCCTTCATGGAAGGACTCGGGGGCTCGTCCCCCCCCCACCCCCCACCCCGCCCTGGCTTTGTCAAAGCCCAAGTCCACATGCCTTCTGGGAGAAGCGCTTCCTGGCTCTAATCCCCTTAAGCCTGAATACCTGTTGGGGAGAGGTGCAGCTCCTTGTCTTGCTAGAGTGTGTCCTGGGGGAAAATCTGGCATCACAAAGACTTGCTGATAAACCTGGGAAATCTGCTCTGCTAAGAGTATTTTCATTCCTATGTTAAGGGTCCGAGAGGAAATGAGTGAATATGTCTCCCAAAGTTTCTGCAACTCTCTTCCTGACAGACACTCACTCAGACTGAAGCCCTCAGACCTCTTTGTAATGTTATCTATTGTTTGATCCTTGCCGCCCTGTATTCCTGTGTATTACAACCCAATAAAAGGCTATGGAAGAGGGTGCTCAGGGCCTTTTTCTCCTTGGAGAAACTGGCCACAGCCCACTCCTCCTCCCCAAACAGATTTCATCTTGTCTCGGCCATATTTACTCACTCACACGTGTCCGTGGCATGGGGGGACCTCACGAAAGAAGTCGCCTCCACAAAGAAATATTTTTTTAAATAAAAAGGGAATTACAGTGCACCCCAGAGCCTGCTATAAGAACTGTTATTAAACACTTGTAAGTCACTCCCCACAAAAATAGTGAAAAACTTTGCCTTCCACTTGATGCGGGCTCACGTGACAAAGCGCACTGCCCAACAGCAGAACTGCACACAGCGTCTGCCTCCTCGCTGAGAACTCCAGCAGCTCCCCGGCACCTCCGGCCAGAGAGGCATCTTTACTTCAAATCATAAACCCAGCAATGAACCAAACAACCGCTTTCCTAAAGAACACAGCAAAGAGACTGACAATTTTTTCAAAAGTTTATTTAAAGGGCATGCATCTGTCATCAACAGCATGCCATTATTTTTATTATAATTAACAGCAACAAAAGTAACAACTACCATTTACTGAGTGCTGTCCTGTCGGGCACTGACCTGATAGTGGTATGTGACTTATCTAACTTAATCCTTGAAAAGAAGATCCTGTAGTCTGTGAAGAATGGCAGAATATACAACCCCAAAATATGCCACTTTGGCATAAAGATTATTTTGAGCTAAAGGCATTTAAAACCAGGACACACAAGATGAGCATTCTAATCTCCCTTTTCTTTCTGAAAACAAATTAAAAACTCCCATGTGAAAGATGGAGTTTTCACCAGGAGAAAAGAAACATTCTTCAATGAAGAGTCAAAGCCAAGAGAATTCTAAAAATCAGACTTTGTTAAAATAATTTTCATTTTCCTTTAGCCTCCTCATACATTTTAGTTATTTTTCCACAATGACCTCTCTTTGTTCAATGTATTATCATATTTATTAATAGGTTTTGCCATTTCTCTGAATCTTCATTTCCTTATGAGGTCTCCCAAGTCACATAAAACTTACCTGGATTTGTATGCTTTTCCCCTGTTAATCTATTTTGTGTCAGTTTAATTCCCAGCAATAGCCAACACACCCTAAGAGGGCAGAGGTAAATTTTTGCCTCCTGTACATCTGTGATGATTTGTTACCTAATTAAGGCAACTGATCCCTCAGTACAAAGCATCATGATGTAACATTATTTAAATATAGACACTTATTTTCCTCAGCAGTGATTGCCATTGTAAATATTTTTGGCTTTGACATTTACCTGGGCTCCCGGAAAAGGTTTCCTCAAAGCATTAGTCACTTTAATGAATACCATCATATACTTACATCTTTACTTATCACAAGAAGTTTTACATCTGTTTTACATGAAATGGAAGCAGGCCGATTGGTGTTAGTTAAAAGGCAGATTTCCTGAAAAAAAAAAATTGGATTTTTTTTCTGGAATTATGTCAGCTCTGACACATTATTACAATGAAATTCTGGGACCGTATAAAATTATAAGTATGTGTCATTTTAAGCAAATAATTTTTTAAAAATAAACCTTCAGTTTATAGAACTGATAAGAAAGGATTGGCCTGGTCTTACTTTCAATAATCTGTCAGCCCCGGCAGCATTAAAATGCATGGACTATTTTCTAAAACAGAACACTAGGTTGAATAAGTCTATTCCAGAATACTTGATGTATTAAAACAACAGCAGGATCCACAAAAACACATAATGCTGCATCCTAAAACTCCACTCAACACTTTATTACTAAGAAAAAAGGGTGCTTTGTCCTGAAGATGACAAACAGACTGGAGATGCTCAGTGGGGAAGATGCTCATATGCAAAACTGTAACACTTTTTTATGATTATAATATGGAAAAAGATGTATCGATACAGAATCAAGGTGAGATTATCTTATTGAAGGGAGAGTGACATGACTTTAAAATCTCTCCCTGCTTGAGTTGGGACATCCGTCTGACTCAGACCTTGGATACTGGCACCCCTGGTTCTCAGGCCTGGACCAGGCCTTATACCACCAGCCTGTCGATTCCCGGGCCTTTGGGCTCTGACTGGAATTTACACCATCTATCCCCCTGGTTCTCAGGCCTTTGGACCTGAACTGAATTACACCAGTGGCTTTCCGGGTTCCCCAGCTTGAAGACAGCAGATCATGGAACTTCTTTGCCTCCATAATAGCACGAGCCGATTCCTACAGTAAATCTCCTCTTACACACATCTGTATATACCATATTGGTTCTATTTCCCTGGAGACCCCTGTATGGATTTTGGCTGATAAATACCAGTTCAGATGATCTCCAAGTTTCTTCCCTCTAGTTGAAAAATCAATGGCTCTATTTGATCTGCACAGTTAAAAGCAGCACAGCAGAGTGAATGGAACACTAAATAAAAATTTGATTCCCATTTCTGCCACTAACTAGCTCTTTCAAGGTGAGCAATTCAGTTAACTGCCCTGGGTCTCCATTCACTAAGGTGTAACGTGAAAGGGTTTGTTGAACTAACCTCTGAGGCTCCTTCTAACATGAAGTCACTGATCCTGGAGATCTTAGTGCCCACAGAGGGTCGTAAGATTCTAAGAGTGCTTTCAAAGTGCCCCCATCACTAGAACGTTCAGCCCGTCACAGGGTGGCCAACATCTTAACTAATGCTCAACCTATCAAGAAATTGTTGACCCACCAATAATGATGCATAATTAACAATGGGAATGCCCTGAAAAAAATAAGGCTTGATTTTGATAAAAAATTATTAGAAATGCTTTTTTCTCCTTTGTCCTTCTCATTGGATTTGTTACCAATAAAATATCTTGACTCCATCTCCTATTTGGTATCCCCACCACCGGTGCCTCTGGTCTAGAATCTGCTCACCAATCTTCTACCTGTTATCCAATTCCACGTTTTCCTGGTGATCATACCAGTCATCTACCTAAATGTTAATCTGACTCATCTCCCTTCTACTTAAAAGCCCTCAATGAGCTGTACGTACTACCTGTAGAATTAAGTCCACATTCTTTTGCATTGTTTTCAATACCATACTTGACCTCAGCTGACATTTCCAAAATAAACAGCAGCAACTGTTCTTACCTCCCAAGAACCTCTACACTTAGGCATTTCAGAATCTGAGGATCTCCAAATCCAGGCTGCCCTCAACTAAATACAGAAGCGAAGCAAGTTTTATTCCTACACACAAGCTGCTTTCTTGCTCTAAATCTTACCCCTTCTGCATAAAATCTTCCACAAAAAATAGACTCTCTTTAAAGAATCAAAAATATCTCCTTGAATCAGTAACTATTTTAGTATACTTAAGAAAAATACCACTCTGCCTCCAAAGCTATATAATTTGTAACTCATTTTTTAACTGGCCAATCATTCATATAACAATCACTTATGAATCTTGTGGGTTCTGTGTGTTCACAAACTACATATCAGGCTATAAGTTGGCTCCACACCACTAAGGAAAGCACATATTTTTCTAAGTATTTCAATTACTAGAATATTCAACACTCAAGGGCAATGTTATAGCATACTATGTTGTTTTAATACAATGACACATAATTTTAATGTTTTTAAAAATAAAAATGTGAAAAACAATGAAAAATGTAATAAATAAATAAATAAATAAAAATTATAAGAGACTGAGAAATTAAGACAATATTTACCCCTATGAAGTCACCTTCTTCAACCTCACTTAAAATTTCAGAGTTGGTATTTTTGTTCATGCTTGTACTGCTTGACATGACCTTTAAACGTCCAGCAAGAATCAGGTAGCATTCAAGGGGTACATGTCCTTGCCTTAGAAGCATACTTTCAGCTTCCAACCTGGGGAGAAAGAATATTAAAAACATTTCTTCTGCAAAATTGCAATTTTGAAGTCATTGGTGGCAAACAAAACCCTGCCATCTTCATCTGTAAAAAATTTTACTTGTTAAGAAGCAATTATCTTCTTCCAGTGCAGACTTTGAAGGCAAGGACCTCAGCCAACTTGTCTGCTGTTATAGCACTGGTGCCTACAATGGTGCTTGGCTCAGAAACTAGGCCTTCAATGAATATACATTGAGTGGGTTTATGAATAGGCAGAAGGAGGGGCTGCACAATCACAGAACAGAAGATCTCTGTACAAATGAATTCCTTAGATAAGTCCTGGTATTTCACAAAATACAGGCATTTTTAAAACATGACTGCTGAATTCATGATGTGAGGCAAGATTTTTGGCTTTCTGGGAGACAAATTTGGTGTTGATTTGTATTCCTTTTATCAAGATTTTTTAAAAGTACAAGCAAGTCCTCACTAACATCAATAGGTTCTTGGAACAGCAGCAAAATGACTTACAACAAAAACCACTTTATCATAGACCAATTGATATAAACAGGAGTCAAGTTCCTATGGCATCTCATCAACATTGTACCAAATGACATTAAACAAAACAGCGCTGAGGACCTGCTGTATTACATTTAGGAACAGGTTATAAATCTGCTTCTTTTCCCTGCTTATAGGTATTGAGCCAGAGGATGGTAGTTTGCCCACCCCAAGTTTATAGAAACAACCCATCCCTGGAAGTAATGAACATTTTAAAAAAACACCTGGGGCATTTCATGAAAAATCAAGATTCCTTTACACTCTGGAAACTCTCATTTGGTAGATCTGGGGCGGAGCCCAGGAATCTGTATTCTTTTTTTAAGAAATTGATTTGAGAGAGAGGAAAAAAGAACATTGATTTATCATTCCACTTATTTATGCATTCATTGCTTTATTCTTGTATGTGCCCTGACCAGGGATAGAATCCACAATTTTAGTGCATCAGGACAATGCTCTAACCAGCTGAGCTCCCTGGCCAAGGCCAGGAATCTGTATTCTCAAAAGGATCTCCAAATTATTTTGGTAAGAACCACACTGACTAACACTGTATTTGAGGCTAAGAACAAACATTATTTATTTTATATTTCTTATAGGGGTAATTTTTGTGAAGACTGAAACAAGACATGTTCTATGAAATGTTGGGAAGCCTGGATAATTTTAGATTTGAAATTAATAATTATACCACCTAGAATTCTTTCTTTCTAGAAGAACAGCAGTTATAATATCTATATTCCAAATTAGGCAGGTGTCATTAGGGAGAGCATTAGGGAAAAAGATGACAGTATTATATATTAAAGACATTCCCATCCCTGTGTTACCAGTGAGAAGGCCTGAATTGCAGCACTTGATATGCTATGAATTAATTAAATGATTTTGAGAAAAATCACTTACCTTCCACTTCCAATTCTTTATTTATGAGAACAAAACTGTACCTACTACATACTTCATAATAATGTCCTATAAAAATATGGAATATATTTAAACTGTTCAAAAGGAAGATATTTTATAAGTACTGGGATTTTACCCTGTTTCAAAAAGTTTAACAGTGTAAAGGAGAATTAGAAGCAGGATAATTCCCACCAAAATAACTATATAAGGTGATAAGCATGTCTGCCACATTTCCATGGATTTTCTTATGGCAGAAGACATGAAACTCTTCAGTCCGAGACTTAGGAATGCAGCAAAAGCAGTAACCGAGGTATCAGCATGGTTGTACCAGTCCCCAAGTCCCACAGGGCAATAGGGAGGGCCCAGTCCCCTGGGCATATGCAGTGGGATGAGTCACAGGGGAGGATCCTGAGCTTAGGGAATCCACTGCTTTTACAATAAGCAGTAAACAAGCTGTCTGGAAAGAGACCAGGTACATGCAGGAACTGCAATGCCTTCCTTCTCAGGATTTGCAGTGGCGTGAACTGTCCTGAGAAGTGTCTCAAGTAAAGAAACACTCAAAGCTTTGGGATTTCGGCACATTCATCAAGTCATGTAGAAGTGCAAAAGGCTCTTCACAGACTGTAACTCAACATACTGGACTTGTAACGCAAAGGAACAGAATCTTAAAATAAGGTTCTATGGTTACTTAAAAAATTATAATTCTACTTCCAAAGGAAGACTATGCAAAAGGGAAATTCAACAATACTATCTTCATTGCCTTTGGGAAGAGGATCACAAGATTAAAATATGATGACTCCTGACTTTCCACTATTAATGTTAATAGATACCAGTTTTTCTTTTTTTTTTTTTTTGCATTTTTAATTGTTGTTCGAATACAGTTGTCTCCATTTTCCTGCCACCACTTTCCCCTGCTACCCCACCCCCACCTCTCACCCTCAATCCTACCCCCTTTGGCTTTGTCCACAGGTCCTTTACACATGTTCCTTAATGACCCTTCCCCCTCTTTTCCCATTATTCACCCCCCACTGCTCTGATCACTGTCAGTTTGTTCTTTATTTTAATGTCTCTGGTTATATTTTGTTTGTTTGTTTCGTTGACTAGGTTCCACTTATAGGTGAGATCACATGATATTTGTCTTTCACCACCTGGCTTATTTCACTTACAAAATGCTCTCCAGTTACATCCATGCTGTTGTGAAGGGTAGGAGCTCCTTCTTTCTTTCTGCTGCATGGTGTTCCATTGTGTAAATGTACCACAGTTTTTTGATTCACTCATTTACTGATGGGCACTTAGGTTGCTTCCAACACTTGGCTATTGTAAATTGTGCTGCTATGAACATTGGGGTGCATAGGTTGATATCAATTTTTCAAAACTACTTAAGTCCACTACTTTAACTCTGTGGACTTAAAAATCATTAAAAATTGCTGAAGTAACTGCTGCATCATAGAAATAGCCTCAAGATAATGGTTGGTTTCTGTGAATTAAGAATAGAGGGCCCTGGCTGGGTGGCTCAGTTGGTTGAAACATTACCCTGTACACCAAAAAATGTTGCGGATTCAATCCTAAGTCAGGGCGCATATGGGAAGCAACCATTCAATGTTTTCATATCACACTGATTTCTCTCTCTCTTTCCCTCTCTCTCTAAAGTAAATATACCCTTGGGTGAGAATTTAAAAAATAGAAGAATAGTCAGTAAGATCACCAATGAATCAGAAATGAGTCCAGAAATAAATGTGTGACGAAAAAAAGTAGGAGGAGAAGCATGGGAAATGAAGAACTTACAGAGGAAAGAGATAGATGAGAGGTGTTATAATGGGAAAATGCCTGGTATTCAAGACTCAGACACAGAAAGAGCAGGATGACTCCACACTCTGTTTTCTCTCCGTTATATTGTGAAAGTGGATGAGGGCCAGTCATTCACAGCCAGGTTCTGAAGTGCATCATTTGGCTGCCAGATGCCCATTATACTAATTGGATCACCAGCCTCCTCTATAACTCATTGACACAAGGATTCTGGGGCTACCCATTTCTTCTACAGCATTAAAATTTCAGAATATCATCTATACAATAAACCATAAAATATTCACATGAGCCTGTTCTCTACTTTTACATTAAACTACAACGCCAGGATGATCCTTCCACACCCTACTTGAGTGAGGTGAAGGAACGCCAATACTAAAGACACTTCTTCTGCTTAAATGTTCCATTTTATACCTTCAGAGAGTTTGAAGCTCTTGCAAATATTTACAGTTTGATGAAAATCATCTTCCTTAACAATTATTTTCTTTTTAAGCCTATAGATACAACTGTTCCAACTCAACAAATGCAAAAATCAGAGTCTTTTTGTTAAGAATAGAAAAGGTAAGTTTAATACTGTCATATTCAGACATTAAAATGTCTACATAAAATATACATATTCTATGTGAATGTTGAACTCTAAGAAGAACTTACGAACATTATTAATTATAATACATTGATTTATTTTTTATTTTTATTCTCCATGTAACAGGGTAAACATGAATAAATAGTAAAGTGCTATCAATCTTCAAAGAGTGAACTGGTGCTTGATAAAAGTAACTCTCCCTTAAAATTTATAAATATTAATGATTTTTAAAATGATACTTCATGTTAAAGCTACGTTAGTTAACTTTTTCCAAGAAAGAATTGTATACATGATGGACCTTCTATAAAACATGGTTATATGCTCAGACAACAGAATCCATTGTGATTGGTTAAAGAAAGTAAAGATTTATTACAAGTATTAGATAACCTATAGAATCTTTGGAAAAATTAGTGAAATAAGGTCCAGGCCAAATTTCCAAAAACAACTCTGGTGACGGTGCTGGGCAGACCCCAGAGCCACACTGCCTCCATCACAGCCTGGAAACTGGGGCCACTGTATCTGAACAAAAACTCCTGTGCTCTGTGCCAATATCTGTACCGGCAAAATGAATGGTCCACATCCTACCTATTTCCCCAAGTATACTAACATCACCTCAAATGTCATGCAGAAATACTTGTCAGAATCTAAATTACACTGAGGGGAAGCAGGAAAAGGTAGCTTGCTGTATTGTTTTTCAATTTTGTTTGTATTCTCATTAAGATGGTAGGATTTACATTATGGAGCACTATAAAAATATAAACTTTGTTCAAAAGATTTTGGGCAACCCCTAGTTGCAAAATGTCAACTTAAGGCCTCTATCATAAAATTTAGGGTATTTTACCAAATACAGTTTGCATGTTTTCCTCTTTCTAGATAAATAAATACATAAGTGGTCTGTTACAGCAATCCATTTTTTTTTTATTTTGGCATTTTGCTTATAACAAGTCTTAGTATTCATCCTACTTTCAATTCTAGTTTCCTTCAGGTTGCTTTGAAAATTCATCATTACATGACAGAGTTCAAAGCACAAACCTCAAAGTGTTACATATATCTTCTGGTCAGCATTCAATGTATAGCATGTTTTTTGTCTGGGAAGTTTGGTTAAACTCTAGTCACCATCTGCCTTTCTTAGGGGACTGCCAAAACCCAACGGGATATTTTTGTGTCACTTACTCTTGGTAGATCGCAATCTGGCAAAGTTGGAGCTGCACTTCATTTGGCAAACTGTGAAATGACCTGTTCTTCTTTAGACATAGTTGAATCTTGAAAAGAAAACAAGAAAGCACAGCTTAGAAAAGGGCTCAAGGCAAATAATTTTGTTGCTCTGTTATTAGCTCAGATCTGTTCAGTATTTCTGATAACTAAAACAATGTTTAGTTTTCTGTGTTTTCCAAAGTCTAGCCATTTCTTATGTGGTAGATGCTGGTAGTTAAGATTTACCATGCCTGGATTCATGAGAATTTGGGATGGCCCTAAAATAGCAAAACCCCTCCTACGGAAGTGAAGGAAACAATAATACAATGAAGAGATGGTCTTCCCCAGAATTCATGAAGTTCCTTGATGCTAGCATCCATGAAGAAGTTGGTAAGGAATCCTTTAGTACCTAGCCTGTCCAGAAAAAAAAATTAGTAAAAGCCCAGAACCATAAAAATAAAATCTGATAGCATCCAGGATTCCTTTATTATAAGACACTAGAAGTAAGAAGTTCAAACATTCCTTTTCCAAAGTATTGGGTTTTACTATGCATTAATATTGCATATGCCTGGGATCTTTGAAAAAGAACTGTGATATAGTTACTAAATCTTTAAAATGCTTGCATTTTTAAAGGGTCTAAAAACAAAGATATGCTCACAACTCCCACCTCACATCATATACAAAGGTGAACTAAAAATGCACCAATGACCGAAATATAAGACCTAAAAACTATTTTTTAAAAGATCTTATTTTTTTCTAGAGGGAGGGGAAGAAAAGGAGAAAGAGAGGGAGAGAAACATCGAAGGCCTGGCCTGCAACCAGGCATGTGCCCTGACCAGGAATCAAACCAGTGACTTTTAGGTTCACAGGATGACGCCCAACCCATTGAGCCCCAGCAGTCAAGGTAAGACCTAAAAATTACTAAACCAGAAAATAAAGGGATAAGTCTTCATGACCTTGGATTTAGTAATGGATTCTTAGTTACAACACCAAAAGCAGAAGCAGCAAAAGGAGACATAAATTAGAGTTCATCAAACTTAAAACTTTTTGCATTAGAGGAGAGTATCAGAAAAGAGACAACACTATTTATAAAATGGGAGAAATTATTTGCAAAACATCTGACAAGGGTTTAATACCTAGAAAATATAAAGAAGTCCTACAACTCAAAAACAAAAAAGACAAGCCAATTAACAGATAGGCAAAGGACTTGAACAGACGTTTCTCCAAAGAAGATATACAAATGGCCCACAAGTACATGAAAAGATACTTAACGTCTTTAGTCATTTGGGAAATGCAAATCAAAACCACAGTGAGATACCACTTCACACCCTTGGGCACTGCTGGTGCAGTTGCTGTGGGAAACAGTTTGGCAGTTACTCAAAAAGCTGTAGAATTATCTCACTACCCAGAAATCCCGATCTCAGGTAACCCCTGCTCTGACTCCCAATTCTGGCAACCACTCTCTTTCTCTATAGCTTTGCTGTCCACATTCTCATATAAATATAGTCATAGGATACACTGCTTTTTGTTTCTGACTTAGCAAAATGCATTTAAGCTCATCCTTGTCTTGTGTGCATCAAAGGTTTGTTTCTTTCTATTGCCCAATTTATATTTCCTTGTATGGATGTATCCATTTTTTTATCCATTCACCTGTGGCAGGACATTTATAAGAATTATCTTTAAATTTCCCTTTTTGTTACTAAAAATTAAAATTCCACTGAATTCCTAAATGACTATATTTTGTATTAATATTTTATTTTTTAACACTTCGAAATCTAGTGTTTGTAATATGCAGACTTAATTTACTATTTATAAAAATTCTTGACTAACTAAAAGGCATTATTTTCTGACCTGATAGATATCAGTTTTCTGCAATGGCTACAAAATTTTAAAACTTGAAATTTTAGGGTGTTCAAACCTTAAGTAATAGTTTCTGCATACTTTCTCAAATTTTTTATGCCATTTTAACCATTTTAAGTGTACAGTAGATGGGCACCAATTACATTCACACTGCTGCACAACCATCTCCACCACCTGTTCCCAAATCTTTTCTCTCACCCCATAAACAAACTCTCTGACCACTAAGCAATAATTCTCCCCACTTTCCCCAGCCCCTGGCAACCACTGTTCTACTCTCTGCCTATTTTGACTATCTTATGTATGTAATATAAAAGGAATCATGAAGTATTTGAGTTTTTTCCTTTCTATTGAGTTTATTGGGGTGACACTGGTTAACACAATTACATAGGTTTTAGGTGCACAATTCCACAACACATTATCTGAAGTCTTTGTTGCTATGTAACTGGCTCACTTCATTTAGCATAATGTCTTCAAAGTTCATTTGTGTTATTGCATGCATCAAAAATTCATTCCTTTTGAAGGCTGAATAATCTGTTTAATGGATATGCCACATTTCTTTATCCATTCATCCCTCAATGGATATTACACATTGTTTCCACACATTACCATTGGGAATAGTGCTACAGTGAACATGGGAATGTTAATCTCTCTTTGAAACCCAGATTTCAATTCTTTTGGATAAATACCATAAGTAAGATTACTGGATCATATGAAAGTTCTGTTTTTAACTTTTTGAGGAGGCTTCATACTGTTTTCCACAGCAGTTACACCATTTAATATCCCTGCCAACAGTTTATAAAGGTTCCAGTTTCTCGATATCCTAGCCAACATTCTACTCTCTGCCTGTATGAGTTTGACTATTTTACATAACTCACATAAATGTAATCATGAAGTATGAGTCATTATATAACTGGCTAACTTCATTTAGCACAATGTCTTCAAGGTTCACCCATATTGTTGCATGTACCATAAATTCATTCCTTTTGTGCTGTCATTTGCTTGTTTGATAACAGTCATTCTAACAGGTGTAAGTTGATATTTTATTGTGGCTTTGATTTTCAGTTCCCTGATGATTACTGACCTTAAGCATCTTTTCATATGCCTCTTGGCCATTTGCATGTCTTCTTTGGAGAAATGTCTAGTCAGTTGCTTTGCCCATTTTTTAATTGAGTTATTTGGGTTTTGCTATTTAGTTGTAGTAGTTTCTTATATATTTGGATATTAGCCATCAGATAAATGGTTTGCAAATACTTTCTCCCATTCCACAGGTTGTCTTTTTATGTTGATGATTGTTTCCTTTGCTGTGTAGAAGCTTTTTAGTTTGATGTAGTCCCACTTGTCTATTTCTTTTTTTGTTGCCTGTGGTTTTGGTGTTATATCCATGAAATAATTGCCAAGATCAATGCTGTTATGGAATACATCCCATTTGCAAGAGCATCAAAAAGAATAAAATACTTAGGAATAAAAAACTAAGGAGGTGAAATATCTGTACACTGAAAACTATAAAACATTGATGAAAGAAGTTAAAGGCAATGCAAACAAATGGAAAGAGACCTCGTGTTCATGGATTGAATGACTTAATATCGTTAAAATGTCTGTGTTACACAAAGTGTTCTACAGATTCAATGCAATCTTTGTCAAAATCCCAATGGCATCCTTTACAGAAATTTTTTAAAAATTCTACAATTCACATGAAATCACGAAGGTCCCAGAATAGCCAAAAACCATCTTGAGAAAAAAGAACAAGGCTGGAGGCATCACACTTTCTGATTTCAAAGTAGATTACAAAGTTATAGTAATGACAATATGGTACTTATATAAAGACAGACACATAGCCCAGTGCAACAAAATAGAGAGCCAGAGATAAATCCACACATGTCTTCAACTGATCTCCAACAAGGGTGCCAAGAAAACACAATGGGGAAGGACAGTCTCTTCAGCAACTTGTGTTGTGGAAACTGGATATCCACAGGAAAAAACATGAAATTGAATCCTTATCTTATACCACACACAAAAATCAATTCAAAATTGGTTAAAGATGTAAATATGTAAGAGCCGAAATTGTAAAATTCTTAGAAGAAAAACAGAGGGACAGTCTCAGGACGATGGACTTGCCAATGAAAAACTTTATGTAACAAAGTTTTGAAACTATAAGGCTAAAGACAAGACACTGTGCTCAAGTTAGTAAATATGGATCTCACAGGGGTCTAGGTCAACAATTCTGAAACTACTTCACATAAATACTAGAGTTTAACAAATAAGTAAATATACTGTAGATAATGACAGCCAGGTTTGTGTCTGTGGGAGAAAGAAGCTACAGACAAGCAGAAAGGGTTGCTGGACTAAATCCTGTAGTATGGACTGGAATTGGACATGTCAGTATGACCTAGTGTTTATTTTAATATATGTACAGATGGGTATATACAGAAATGAATACAGATACATGCGTTAGTAACCATGCAAACATTTGCTGGTTCTCTGAGTTAAGAAGGCCTAGCAGCAATGACTCTCCAGTTGTAATAAGAACAATTAGAGGCCAGATTATTGGTTTCTAAATCTCATTCCGGTTTCATTCTACAATAAAAGGCTCCATGCTCAAAGAAATGGCTGGTTCTTGGACTGGAGTATGGAAGAGACAAGGTAAACCTGGAGGATTTAAGGATGCCCGAAAGTAAGTTAGTGCTGAAAAAAAAAAGAGGTGTAGTTTTGTCAAAAGAACATAGGAATTGACTGTTCAGAGTTCCTGATGGCTAGAGCTGAAATAATTTGACCAATATAATGAACAATATAGTAATCAATAACTCAAAGGAATTTTATAACTCAAAGAATAAAATAAAGATCTATAAGTCAATAAATATCCATGAGACTATACTGATATAAATACACAATAGAATGAATGGATGAAAAGAGGCAACTCTTCCTACAGAAGAATTATAAATACAGAAAAAGTGAGGAAAACACAACATCACCATTAAAGTACCAAAGTAATCATTGCTGCAGGCAAGATCCCCAAATAAAAGCTAAAATTAGTGAGCAAAACTTTAAAGAGAAACAGGGTATTCACATCGCCCCAAAGTATCTCCCATCAAATATTTATTAATGATTGTGGTGGTTGTAGCATATGTCTATTTCTTAAATATTCCTCCCTCCAGGAGATGGATCTTAAATCCTCTGGACTTGACTCAATAACTCCAGTGGGCTGGACTTACTAACTCACTTCCAAAGAACAAAGTACAGAAAGGGGGAAATGGTACATTCATGGTGGGGACCCTGGCAGGCACCACTACAGCCAAGTAATAAAATATTGATATCATATACCCAAAATCTAACCTCATCTAATCACCTCATCTAACCTCATCTAATGAAGGAAGAAGAAAACCAAACTGAAGGACACCCTCCAAAACATCCAACCAGTGCTCTTCAAAAGTGTCAAGGTAATCAAAGACAAGGAAACCTGCAGATCCGTTGCAAACGAAAAGAAACTAAGAAGACATGACAGCTAGAGGCAGTGTGGGATCCTGGTTTGGGAACAGAAAAAAGACATCAGTCGAAATGTCTGGGTAACCTAAATAGTTTAGACTTTAGTTGATAGTAGTTGACAAACCAATCTAAATTTCTTAATTTTGATCATTGAACTACAGCTATATGAGGTAGCTTTAACATCAGAGAAAGCTGGGTAGAGAGTGTGCACGTCTTCCGTAAGTCTAAATTTATCAAAGAGAAGGGTTTTTTTTTTTAATTTAGCTTCAGCTAAATACAGGAGTTACATTCAGAAACTTGAAATGAATGGGTCTCTCAATCCCAGGTGACTGAAGCCAAAAATAAAACAAATCAGCAGTAACCAGTTATGACTATTCACCTGTGCATTTTGAATGCCCAAGTTTCCCAAACTAAAATCTCCCAGAAGTGTGGCTGAGGAGGTCATTGCTCTGTGAGGTAGCCCTAGTTCAACACACCCAGCTACAGCCCCTGGGGTAGATTATGGAGAATCAGCCTCCAGTTCAATCCCTGTATTCTCTGAGGCTGCTGCATCATGGACACAGGCTGGCACCAGTGAGTGGTCTGACTGTTTCATGGCTGAGGTGAGATGAAGCAAATGGAAGTTGGGGGTAAGCAGCACTTTGTAGACAGGTTAATAAAACATAAAGAACATAGTTATGTTCAGCCCAGTGCTTTCTCTTTACTTAAAATGCACGTAGCAGTAAAATAATCACCTACCGTTAGGACGGTGCAGAAAAAATTCTCTGGTTTACAGTAACTTTATTCCCTGAACTGACAGTTGTTCCTATCTGATTAGATACAAAACTTTTTGTTCCTGGTGTCCTGCTGTGCTGCTGTCCTCTTTTTTTTTTTTAAGATTTTATTTATTTATCTTTAGAGGGGAATGGAAGGAAAGAGGGGGAGAAACATCAATGTATGGTTGCCTCTCATATGTCCCCTGATGGGAACTGGCCTACAACCCAGGCATGTGCCCTGACTGGGACTCGAACCACGATCCTTTGAATCGCAGGCCCATGCTCAATCCACTGAGCTGCACCAGACAGGGCTGTTGTCCTCTTTTTGACAACATCCAGAACAGGGACTTCCACTGTGTCACCTCTGGAGCTCCTTGAAGAAATAAAAGGGAGACTGTGGGTGGGCAGAGATTTTTGAACTTTCAGTATTTTGAAAACTCTAATGAGATCATTAATTTACCTATAATAAAGTCATTCAGAATAACATGTAATTTATTCTCTTCAGCTGGAATTACGTCAGCTCAGCATGAACAAAAGTGCTGATTGACCATAAAATATCATTAATGTTAGAAAGCAGGAAGATAAATTAACTAAACAAATGACTTTTGTTAGGAGGCAAAGACCTTTCAAAACATGGGGTTTGTGGGGTGGCAATGGCTTGGAACCAGTATGGTCCTTACGCATAAGATACCCTGCCCTCTGCTCTTGACTCTGAAAGCTACCCACCATCAGAATCCTGTCTCCACTCCCAGTACTTCTTCGACTCTGGGAAACCTTCTTCGGAATTACAAAGTGCTTGGTAATTTAATGGCACTTGGACTGCCTTGTGTATACTCAAGAAAGCTATATAGTTCATAGTATGCACACGATTCATTAAAATTGAATAAATATAGTGTGTGTTTTTTGAAGATTTTATTTACTTATTTTTAAAGAGAGGGAGAGAAACATCAATGTGTGGTTGCCTCTCATGCACCCCCTACTATGAACCTGGCCTGCAACCCAGCAACCCACGCATGTGCCCTGACTAGGAATTGAACCAGGGACCCTTTGGTTTGTAGGCTAGCACTCAATCCACTGAGCCACACCAGCCAGGGCTGAATAAATATAGTGTTTATTTTTATATCTTTAGGAATATAGTTCTCTACTTAAAGTAGGTTCTGTGAGAAAGATAAATTTAACTTAAATTTGTTCACTGTTAATTTGAGGACTGTCTGAACCCACACAAGAATTTTAGCTCCTAGTAACAAGAACTCACATGGCTATGATATAGGTGGTTTCAAGACAGGGGCCCAAGCACAGAAAACACCACCTCTTAGAAATGTCTGATGCCAAAGATGATGACAACTTGTAATGCAACACTATTTTTTAGGATACTAAATGCTTTATATTTTAAAATGTTTAAAAATCAATACCTCTTTATACTTTATAGCTGGTATACAAAAAATTCTTTAGAGGTTAAAAAAACAACAAATACACATCCAATTTACCTAAGTATATTAAAATTTTAACAGATACAGAGAAGATCTACCTAATCTCTCAGGAACAGAAATCTATATCTACATAATGGGCTGCTGAAGTTCATTCAAAGATTAGTAAATTAAAATTACAGAAAACATTTTAATAGGCTTAAATTTATATTCGAAAATCAATTATTTATCTCAAGTACATACCTCAAATATAACACATAGTTGGAACTCGTTGATTAATATTTCTTTAATCAACATATGAAATAAATAAAAGAAGAGCTTCACTGGATGTATCTATTAAAATATATAAATATTCCAACCATCTTTACTTAATACTATTTTGTTTTCTAAACCCTAACATTAAGGAGTGGAGAATAGAAATACAAGAAAAATAATTTGGCATAATGTTTTTATAGTGTTAACCTGTACTTGCTTAAAATAGTAGAAGAAAAGCATAACTGAATACATTAGAATAATCATATATCAACAAAATTTTATTTATTTACCTCTTGGAGATTTTTTTGCCTTCTTTGCTTAGGTTGAATGAACATCAGTGTTTTCAGCTTTGAGAAATCTTTGCTCTGTGAAAAAAAGTGCACTTACATTAAATGCATCCTGCTTGTCCCCATGGACACGATTTCTTCCAAAAACTGGGACAGGATTTATAGCTTGGGGAACACTGAGTGTTATGTTTATGTAATATTGACTTTTAACTTTACACATTAACTATGTTGAAATTACTCTAAGAAATGAATTCACTTAAAACAATTGAAGTACCAAGTATGGAATGCACTGGTCATATCATGAATAGGCATGTTTGATCGTAACTAAGGCAGCAAGACCATTACAGCGAACTGAGAGTTTGCATGCTGAAAGCTATTTCTCTAGTTGATGAGTATGAGTCACTTCGTGAATGTAGTTCAATCTCATGTCAACCCAGTTGAACGGATATCACATTCACCAGATTCAATGAACCTATAAAAGAGTGTCAACTGTTGTTTACTCTTTATCTAGGGAATTCAATTTCAAAATAGTATTACTGACCAAGGGTGAGGCTATAAGATGAAGTAAAACTCCGTTGAGTTCATCTCCATACAGTATCTTCCTTTAACTTTTTATTCCAGGTCTCAGGCTTTAACATAAAAAAGTATGCCCTCCATCCTATATCTTGATATCAATTTACTTTTCACATCCTATGCTTAATGATGAGAATCCAAATGTTAATCTAAGATACTCCTAAACTTGCTCTGATAAGTTGTTTGACCTCAATAATAATGATAATTATTGAGCATTTAGTATGCATGAGGCACTATTCCAAGTACTTTACATGTATTAATTCATGAAAGCAATTTACCTTGTTTGACTTCCTATATAACAAAGAAACTCTCCTGGTTATTTAAAATGCCTACAAATGATACAGGGATATGCTGGATTTATTCTTCTGGGTTTTAGCAGCTATTTTAAAAAAATGAATGAATGACAGCACTACCATAATTCACCAGAGCAACAGCAGAGATAATGCAACCTATAATCCCAAAGTCAAGGAACATTACTCCACTCTACCGCCTGCCTACATATGAACTGCATGTGCAGTGAGAAGCACATTAACACTTCCGCCATGGCCAGCATTGTTCTAATGGGATCTAGTAATATTCTTCATAAGAGCCCATGAAAAATGAGCTTTTACCCAGTTTAACACTAAAATCTGTTCAAAAGAATGACCATAAAAATTATAATAGGTACAATTAATACATAACAATTTCATGGTACCAAATTTTTTAACAACAGAGGAAAGGGAATTGTTTTATTTAATGTCAATATCTTCCCCAAATATATAAAGGAATTTAACTCTGTTAAGCATAACAAACTTTTAATTTTCAGAGTTAAATTTTACTTTGTGACAGAATATCTATGAATAATCTTGTTATTTTTAATATTAAATATACTAAAACTTCAAACTAATGTACAAGACGCATATCATTATGAAAAGAGCCAACACATTCATAGGCATGTGAAGAATGGAGGGAAATCCACCAAAATGTTACAACTGATCATCTGTCATCTCGGAGATGGAATTTTTAGTCATTTTAATTTTTTTCTTTATAACCTTTATATAATTTCCAAATTTCCTACACTTAACCTGTATTACTGTTATTTTATTTCAAATTTTTAAGATAGATACAAGTATTTTTATGATTATGAGATCAACATATTTACACTTAAGTGAAAATCTATTGAAGTCTACAAACTAATCACTGTTCTATTTTAAGGCAGTCTAGATCTCCACCTTTGTCTTTCCTCATGTGTATGTATGTAGATACATGTACAAACATGTGTGTACACACATACACAAAACATGTGTGTGCATGTATATACACGTGTGCACACGCTTAGAAACATATAATTTTACAAAAACAAAATTACACTATTCTGTTTTGTAACCTGATTTTTCTTCAATCATATACTACTCACTTCCACTTGTACACCATCATTTTCAATAGGTGCACCACACTTGACCACATATTTCACAACACACAATTAGCCCAGCTAGCCCTCAGTGCCCAGTTAGATCTCCCTCCCCCAAGAAGCCTTCGCTGTCTCCCCAATTCTGCACTGAGCTCCCCTCATCTGTGCTTCAGCCACAGTCTACACCCTCCGTGCTGCACTCAGCAAAGGTATGCCCACTGTCTTCTTCCCTGGGCACTAAGCTACATGAGGGCAGGGAACCAACTACATCTGACCAATTGTTATAACCCTGTACCGACTCCCATGCTCAGCAGAGATAGCAGCAAATAAGTAGTTGTTGAAATAGAAATCATTCCCTTTCTTTAAATTATAAACAAGATGATAAACATTCTTGCACATGCAGATGTGTGCAGTTATCCAATCATTCTCATGGAGTACATTTTTAAAACTAGTATCACAGAGACAAAGATATGAGCATTTTGAATTTTAATATTTATTGTCACCTTGCTCTCCAAAATCCCTGTAGAAATTTACAATCTCACCATCGACAGATGAATGAAAGTGTCCATATTCTCATATTCTTGAAACACTGAGTGTTATCACCCTTTCTTTAAGAAAAAAATGCATTTATTTATTTACTTACTTAATTTTAGAGTGAAGGAAAGGGAGGGAGAAAGAGGCAGAGAGAAACACTGATGTGAGATAGAACATCGGTCGGTTGCCTCTTTTACGAACCCTGACCTGGGACCAAACACACAACCCAGGCATGTGCCCTGACTGAGAATCAAACTGGTGACATTTTGCTTTGCAGGATAACGCCCAACTAACTGAGCCACACCGGTCAGGGCCATCACCCTATTTTTAAACCTTTTCCCAAGATGATATTATTATTACTCATCACTGTATAATTTAAAAAGATATTACACATTTTATAATCTTAAAACTAGATAGCTACTAATTAAGATGAAGACAAAAATACTAACCAAGTTATATTTTGAAAAATTGCTCATGTTGAATAATAGTTCATTAGCTGAATGATTCTTTATGCTTAAGTAAAATTGTGCCCATTCTTCTGCTCGACTCTTTTCAATGTACCTGAAGGAGAAGTGACAGCAACTTTTAGAAATATAAAAGTACTTGTTAAAAATTTGCAACAAACAAGCTAACATGGAAGTTGATCAACTGGAGTAGAACATACACAGGTTAACATGCAAGTTAGTAGCCAGAGGAAACCTAAGGTGTGGATTCAAAAGCAAGGTGAAACTTGCAACTTACTATAGATGTGGTTATATTTTGCTCTGAAAAATGAAATTGGAAAATGTTTTTGTCTTAATGCCCTAGAATGGCATCTCCCAACGCCTATTATCACTGTCCACAGGACTGCCTACTGGTACTCCAAACTAAGGGTAAAAATAGCACTAGTTTTCTTCTTCTCCCTGCTGAACGCTTAGTTAATTTTGGATCCAGGACAGGATGCTCCATCTGAACGTTACTGTCCAGTATATACACACATCACACAGCAGGACAAACAGCTGTGCTGTGCGTGTAAAATTCCCACTGAATTTTCAAAGACTTAGTATGAAAATAGAATGTAAAATATCACAGCAATAATTTTATAAAGATTACTTGCTAAAATAATATTTTGGAGATATTGGGTTGAAAATATTAAGCATAATTTTACCTGTTTCTCCCCACCTCAACTTTTTTAATGTGGCTTACTAGAAATGTTTGTAATTATCTATGGGGCTCACATTATATTTCTACTGAATAGCGATGGTTTAAACCATTGAGATCAAGAGCTAGATTACAAAGTTAACCATCAGTTGTTACTACCTAAGAATCCTCCAAGGAGGAGCAAAGACATGAGAGGGGAAAGGAGCTAGGGAATCCTGTGAACTGGGTCTGGTCTGCAATCCGAGGAGTCGATGAAGGGGATTTCCAGGCACGGGAGCCAGTGTAGAAGCTGAGCGGGATCATAAATCAAAGAAAAAACTGTTTTAAAAAACAAATTATCCTGAACAAGGGTTCTCACTATGTTATTTCTTGCTCTGTTGCTTTTGCCAGAACCCTCAAACATGCCTCAGAACACTCTAACCATGTCCGAGCTGGAACAAAATAGCAAACTTGAGCTACAGGGTTAAAATGAGAAGGTGTGCCTCTCACAGCCAGGAATGACCAATATGAAAACCAAGTGGATGCTGAACTTGAAGGACAGAAATCAGCTGCCTCACCCACCAGGACATTCCCTTTCCCAAGCCAGCCTTGGAGTTTTGGATGTGGGTGGTGAGTTTTGCTTATATGTCTTTATTTTGGGTGTGTATTTCAAGGATGGCCTCAGGGCCATCTTTAACCTGTAATGAAACCCCAGACTGCCTCAATCCCAGAAGTTGCCGGAACCTCATCTGAATTTGCCACATGCTCTGGAATCTGCCTTGGATGCCAAAATTGTCATCAGAGTCCAATTTTGTATCCATCTCCTTTCCCTGAGCAGATGGCAGCCTGGCCCCAGTTACTTCAACTCCCCTCAAGGTCCTACCCATGGAAACTCCTAAATGCCTCGAGCTCAGCCATGCTCACCTGCTGGGTGACTGAAGCTCATGGTCTGTCTCCAAAACCTTGTTCTACCTTATGCTACGGTAATAAAAGGCAGACCAGTGGTTGCCTGGGGCTGGAATGGGAAGTATTCCAAAGGGGCTGAGGAAACTTTTGGGAGCGATGGATATTTTCAGCATTTTGATTGTGGTTATGTTTTATGGGCATCTACATATATCAACTTATTAAAATGCATACTTTCACTATGTCAGTTATATCTCTGTAGAGTTATTAAAAACAGTACAGGCATACCTCATTTTATTGCTCTTCACTTTATTTCACTTCATAGATGTTGCCTTTTCTTTTTAACTAATTGAAGGCCAGACTCACTACTGCTTTATTGTGATACTGGCTTTATTACAGTAATCTACAATCAAACCTGCAATAGCTCTTGGGTATGCCTGTGTTATGTATCCTTCTCATAACCAGTTTCATCAATCAAGAAACCAATGAACAAATACTTATCACCCACTCTGGCTAACTCCCTCCCTGGTAGGAATAGACTCTTCTTGGCCAAACAGCACTTCAGGGAGGTCATTCTATCATATCCTTGACACAAGTAAATAAAGTACTTTACCAGCCTACTTTCCATATACATACATTTATTGTTTTAATCAGAAGAAACTGTCATCTGATACATGTTCAAAACCAGTGGGTTGCTTGTCTTGCCATAGAAAGAAATATCTCTAGTGAATAAAGAAGAAAACTGGGAAAACTTCACAACACAGCATAGCAGAGTAGTTACCTCAGGTTGAGTTTCACAGAAGCAGAGGCTGGAATGAAGATTCTTGTGTGATTTTAAGGCCCTCAGGTGAAAACCGTAAGGAAGTAAGGTGAGCAGGACAGGGAAAGGGAAGAAGCAAGGCAAAAATGTGGGCCCAGCTACAGTCCACCCTTCTATGGGAGGGAGGTACCCCCATATCAATCATCCTTTAGCCACAGACCACACCTGAGAGTCTTGGGGTGTAACCTCCTGGGCATTTTCTGGCAGGACACCTTCCATTAGGCAAGGGCAATGCTTGAGAGAAGGCACACCTGTGAGCTGTTGGCAGCCTATACTCCTATCACCTGGAGAATGGGGGCACCTGTCTACCTGCAAAACTGTTTCCATTTCGCCACCTGTAAAATGAACCCAATAACAGCAGCTAGTTCATATGCTTGTCCAAACTCAGTAATGTAAAGCACCCAGAATAGCATTGTACATTAAACGGCATACACAGTTAGAATCACACATAGCACATAGTAAATGCTTGATAAATACTGTAAACTTTATTGTTGCTGCTATTATTGTGTTCCCAGAGGTGCCCATGCCAGGTGTATAATCACTCAAGTGCCCTCCAGGTACCCTACACAGTTGGGCACCCGGGAGTGCGAAGTTAGCCTCAGCATCACTTAAGGGTAATCTAAAGACTCCACAGCTAGGTGACGGCCTACAGGTACACACACCCATTTGATACGGCATTTTACATGGCAAGCTCGCAATCAAGCAAAATCAAGCTTTTCTCAACGCCAGCCATTATTATTCTGTGGGAGATCCTCGTAAATGGATTCTTCACCTAGCTCCTGGGAGGAAGACAAAAACTAGAAATAAAGCCTCTCTCTCATCTATGCTGTGTGATAGCAACCACGAAACCAGTCCTCCTCAAGCAAAAGAGAGTTCCCACACAGCTAAAAGCCATACTTGGGGCAACACTGAAAATCGAAGTCCCAGGAGCCAACTCTCTGATGTTTGCATTCTCCAGAGGCAAATAGGGAAAAATGTACGTAGACTTTTCCTCCAGTTGTCTCCTAGTTTTGGAAACCACTTTGACACATTCGCAGCTGTTAAAAAGAGAGGTGACGGGTCAGGGGAGAGCTAGACCCAAGATGAGTTTCACAACCTGAGAGCTAGTTCCCAGGATGAAGGCAGTGATTTTCGTGCCCGAGGAATAAGTGCAAATTCGGGGAGACCTCGCTGGATGGCTGGTTCACCTTGAGTCCAGCCCAAGGAGCCGCACGGTTCGGTTTTTGGAACCAGCACTCCGCGGGCACTCAGTTCCCATGGAAGAGGCAGCCCCGGCCGCTGCGTGTCTGCGCCCGGGTGGCTGTTACCTTTTCATGAGCAGGGTCAGTCCGCACACGTGCGCCAGGATCCCGGCTGCCTTCCGAAACCTTTCCCTCGCCGCCGCCCGGCGTGGCGCGGAGGGGCCCTCGGGGCCTGGGACGTGAGCCATGGGCACTGGAGTCTCGGGGTTCGCGCTCCGGGGAGCCGCGAACTCCGCTCCCTTCAAGGAGACCGCTGAAGGGCGGGGTCCAGGGAGGACGCGCCTCTGGCCCCACCTCTTGGACTTAAAGGTTTTTGTTTTCTAAAGATGAATTTCTGCCCTAGACCCCGCTGCGAGCTCCGTTTCTGGATCTAGAAGGCCCCCCACCCCCACCCCGTCCTGCACAGAGCGCGCAACCCCTCTGGAGCCAAGCTGGGAAAAGGACCGCGGACCCCGCCCTCAATCAAAGTTCTTCACCAAGAAAATGTCATTTGCATCTGGGCCTCCTGGAGAAAACTGAAAGACGGAGAGATAAAAAGCCCTAAGTAGAACTTTAGGGAACTGGGTGCTGAAAGCCAAAAGCTGTACTTTGCAGCTAGGATAAACACGGCTCAAAAGGCCCTGGAAGTTCTTGTATGAGGCTGATTTGTAAGTTACTGAGGTTTGGGGTGGGGAAGCAACAATAGCCCTGTTTACTTTAAATTTCCTGGGAAACGAAGTTAAGTGCACTTTAGTTATTTTTAAGTACTTAGAATGTCATCAAGCGACAGGCCATTCAGTGGACTACTGGTCCTCCACAGTTTTCTCGGGTCCATTCCGTCAGAAAGGCTGCACAATGGAGTTGTGCCGGGAATGCATGGAATCTCGATGGCGATATGCACAGGTGGGAGGAAATACAAATGTAGAAGGAAGTTGCTTTTTTATGCTTTCTTGGAGAGAAAAGGTTGACAGCTGAAAGGTTCATGAAGAGTTAGGTTGTTTTGGAACACCCTCAAGTGTGAAGGGCCCTAGGAGAGAACGGTGAAGCACAGCAGCCTACACTTCTGTGTTTCTCCTTCACTGCTCACGCAAAACACTTCTTCACTTCTGTTCTCCACGTGTATGGAGGGTTTTTCCCCACGCCAAGCAATTCTCTGCAACATCAGAATTTAACTCACTGACACTCACAGAATTTAATTCTGACACTGTCTACCTGAAGTATATCCAAATGGAAGCTCTCCAAACCCCCATGCTATTGGAATTTTAGGGAAGCTTCCTCAGATAGGCATGATCAATTAAGTCCATTTCCAGCCCCTCCCTGCTCTACGGAGAAGTAGGGGGCAGGCCTGAAAATTCCCAGCTTCTGATTGTGGTTTGGTGTTTCTGGTGACCAGGAGCCATCTAGGACTCCACTCAGTCACCTCAATAGAAGAGAAGATGCTTCCAAGTGCTCTTATCTCTTCGGAATTCACAATGGTTTTAGGAGCCCATGTGAGGAACCAGGGGAAGAGACCAACATGTATTTTTTCTATTATCTCACATAGATTCTAGCCTATACCACATAAGATGCATCTGACACACTAAATATTACTTCGCCTTTATTAAGGGACTTCTACAGTGTTTGATTATTCCCAATAGTAAGGAATCAAATATTTAATTTGTAATTTTATATTGTGCCAGGTTAGTCCCTAAACGCATTAGAATCAGTACATCAGGCTAAATTATGTGCGTTTTCCCCCACAGTCTCACCATGGAAATCCATCCATCAGTGGGTCAACTGGTGTTTGACACAGGAGCAAATGTTTTCAATTACTTAATTTTTCCCCTGATAAATATATAAATGTTTAGCCCCAGCTGGTGTAGCTCAATGAATTGAGCACAGGCCTGCAAACCAAAAGATTCAATTCCCAGGCAGGGCATATGCCTGGTTTGCAGGCCAGTCCCCAGCAGGGGGTGCATGAGAGGCAACCATACATTGTATTTCTCTCCCTCTCTCCTTCCCTCCCCACTAAAGATAAATAAATAAAATCTAATATATATATATATATATACATATATATATATGTTTATTCTCTTCTTTTTGCCAGAATGTAATAGAGACTGTTTAAGTGCATATGAAATACATAGTTCCTACAAGTGCTTTGTATTTTATCAACCCTCTGCAAGAAATTAGATTATTAAGAAGTGTGGAGACTATGGTTATGCAAATAACATATATTTTGCAAACACTCTGAGCTTTAGAAATATTTAATATAGAAATTCCTTTCATGCACTATGGCCTTTCATTGATTTTTATTTCAGTATTCTACAAGCCACTCTTCTATACACATATGTGCTATCGCCACCTTTAATGTGAAGTCAACCCATGTTACTGTTTTCCCAAAGCAACTGCGGCCCAGTGATGTACTTAGGAGCCAGTTCAAGTCCTCTCCACAAAACCATATTATTCCCAATTTTCACTGCATTAAAATAACATGAAGATTGAAGTTATTTGTTTTGGTTTTTTTTCATGAAGTAGTATGCAGTGTCCAAGGATACAACAGTGGTTTAGTATTGTAGAAAAGACTTTCAGCTGTTTCCTCAGCTGTAAAATGAGAGAATTAAATTAACTAAACTTCTTTTCTGCTCTATAATTTTATTATGTTTAATATTGTATATTATACAGAATGCCCAGAACAATCAACAGTAACATTTTCTAAAGATCATAAATATAAGAGGAAGGAATCAATGAATAAATATATTACACTAGGCAGCTTGTTTTAATCATACAGCCAAATTCATTTCAAAATATTGAATTTTGTAATTTCACTAATCCTTCAGTTTTTGACAGTTTTACCAGTAATTATCAGGATCTAGAAAATTGACAAATTTGATAAATCTGATATTGATTTATAAATATGTATTTATTGATAAATCTGATAAATACATATTTTTTAAATCTCATGTTGGTACTCCTTTTTATATGGAAACTCATCTAAAAATAGTAAATCTGCCCTGGCTGGTGTGGTTCAGTGGATTGAACACCTGCCTGAGAACCAAAGGGTCAAGAGTTCAATTCCCAGTCGGAGCACATGCCTGGGTTTTAGGCCAGGTCCCCAGTGGGGGCGTGTGGGAGGCAACCAACATTGATGTTTCTCTCCCTCTCTTTCGCCCTCCCTTCCCCTCTCTCTAAAAATAAGAAAATAAAATCTTTATAAAAAAATATAATAGTAAATCTATGAAAGCCACTGTTACTTGTAAAATTCAACTTATTTTTTTTTAAAAAGCCCATACACAATCAAAACATTTCAAAAAATATTGGAGGAGGATTACAGTGATGACTACAAGGATACCCAAATCTTTTAAGATAAGAAGCTATTATAGATAATGATAAAAAGATAAGGTCTATCCAGTTCTGAACATATACTGACTTTCTTGTGCAAAATCAGCTCTAATGAACCAGAGCACGCTCCTAGATTCTACACAGACCTTTCTTGTGGAGCTGTTCCCTGCCTCAGTGATCAGCACCACTTTGTCCACTAGTCCGGTATGGATCTGAGAATCATTCTTGACTCCTCCCCTACTGCCCCCTCAAATTTATTCTTCCTGAGCTACCAGAGTGATTTTTATAAAATGCAAAATTTTGCATACTGCTAAATGTAAAATGCCCTTAAATTTTAAACCCTTAAACTCCTGCTAAAAATCCTTAAGTGGTTCCCCATTGGCCTGAGGATAAACTCCTAACTGCCTCATTAGATTTTAAAGGCCACCCTCCCCCCACTTTCCTCCTTAGCCCAGCCTCCTTTTACCCTCCTCACCTCTCCTGTTATATTCCGCCCTCCCAACGACACTTGTTAAATTACTCTGTTTTCCCCTAGATACTGGACTGTGTCTTTGATGGCTAGGCCTGGAATGCTCTTTGGCCCTTTCTTCCCTGGAGAGTTCCTCCTGCTCCACCAGGTCTCTGATTACATTATTTCCACCCAGGTAATATCCCAGATTCCCCTCCCACAGGCTCTCATAACACCACACTGTAAACCCAACACAGACCTTGTCACGGTATTGTAATTTCCCCACTGCACCACCAGACTAAGCTATTAACCTGTGCCCAAAAGGAAGCTGAAGCAGAAAGAGCCTGAGCTTTCTAGTCAGAGACCTGGTTTCCAAACCTCATTCCCGCATTTCTAAGTTATGTGCACTGCAGCAAGTTACTTAACCTCTCCAGGTCTCAGTTTCCCACCTCTAAGGAAAGACAGTCATGATCAAGATTGATGAGACAAGGTGTGTAAAGCATTTGCATGTCCGCAGGCACTTAGCGGATGCTCAGTAAGTAGTACTTACAAATGGTGACAGTTCCCCAAAATCTCTCTCCTAGAGCGGACACCTTATCACTACCAGATAGAGGTAGATGAAGAAAAATATTATTTTTTCCTAGACCCCAAAAGATCCTCATTAGCTGTATATACTTAAGGTTATTTAGCTGTTTGTCATGACTCAGTTTCTCAGTCTGAACATGATACATGCAATTACTCTCATTACAGGATAGGTATGAAAGTATTGACCAAATACAGCATTTTATTTTTTCTAAGACTTTATTTATTTATTTTTAGAGAAAGGGAAAGGGAAGGAAAAAGAGGGAGAAAATCATCAATGTTTAGTTGCCTCTCATGCACCCCCTATTGGGATCTGGCCTGCAACCCGGGCATGTGCCCTGACTGGGAATTGAACCAGCGACCTTTTGGTTTGCAGAATAATGCCCAACCCACTTAGCCACACCAGTCAAGGCCCACAGAGGATTTTTAGGGCAGTGAAAATACTCTATATGATATAATGATGGATACATGTCATTATATATCTGTCTAAACACATAGAATGTACAACACCGAGAGTGAGCCCTGAGCTAAACTATTGACTTTGGGTGATTATGATGTGTCAATGTAAGGTCATCCTTGATTTTTTTTTAAAAAAGCACCATTGTGGTAAGTTGTATTGATAATGAGGGAAAACAAGGTATATGGGAAATTTCTATCTCCTTCTCAATTTTGTCATAAACCTATAACTGTTCTAAAAATAGTCTTTTAAAAAGCAATCTTTAAACAAAGAATAAGATGCACTTTATACAAAGAAGCATTTAGGAAACCACATGTTCTTGAAAATTACATGTATAGTAGCAGAAATGAAAACTCATTAGAAGGGTTGGAAGAGAAAATTAAGGAAATCATCCACAAAGTAAGAGAAAAAGAGAACAGAATGCTCCCTTCAGCAGTGTATA